TAGCTAGTTGGGGTCCTATATGCCTCAGTTATCTGAATGTCAAGTTCTTCCCCTCTGTTTGGGAAGTTTTCTGTCATTAATTCTGTGAACAGATTTTTAAAGTCCTTTGTATTTTCTCCTGCTACTTCATGTATTCCTATCAGTCTTATGTTATTCTTCTTTGCATCATCTAGGAGTTGTTGGATCGATTTCTCATGATCTCTTACTGTTTTTAAGAGACCTCTCTTTTCATGGTTACTGACTAAAATCTTATCTTCTATATCTGAGAGTCTATCTTTGCATTCTTTTATTCTGTTGCATACACTTTCAATAGAGTTTTTAATTTCCTGGATATCTGTTTGAATCTGTTATAGATTCCATTTCTTTCCTATGTTGGGTGTTTATTTTTTCCATTTCTTTCTTATGCTGGGCCTTCATGGCTTCTATCATGGTCCTGAGCTCATCTATTTTTTTGTCAGTTTCTGCTCTAGAGTCTTGAATGGTGACTTCCATTTTGCTCACTATCTCTGTGGCTATCTGGGAAATTATTTTTGTTTTCAATTTTTCTAGAACCTGATTGATCTGTTTTGTTACTTCCTATGCTTTGAGTTCAGGGTGCCCCGGTGGTTCACTATCAGTCTTTTCATCCTCATTTGCCCTACTGTTTGCCATTGGTGAACTGGAAGTCTGTCCTTGTGTCTTGCTTAAGTGTTTCCTCATTTTAATTTTTGTTGTTGGACTGTCCTTGGTTTAATCTCTGGATTATCACCCAAATCTTCCTGATATAGTTGCACCCTGGCTTCTGTGTCTCTAACGACCCAAAGACATTCTCATCTTCATAACATCAGAGAAACAGCTCATCATATCAACCGCAATGCTTTATCCCAACTGTTACAATCAGCAACACATTAAGATCAAGCACAACTTGGACACTGACCACCTGTGGTAGTCACTCGTCTATCACCCTTAAATCATTTGAATGAAATTGAAATCAAGAAGCAGTTCAGAACATGTCTGCAGTGAACAAAATTTCAATATAGTGTATTTACCATTTAATGGCTCAGACAGAGCGAGGATGCAAGTCCCCTGGTCTCAGTTAGCTGATGGCTGAACCCCATGATGCTTACTGACCTCAGGCTGCAAGGCCCAGATTGAGTTACCCAACCTTCTGAATGGTTGAACTCCACAATGTTCTATTACAGGTTTCCTACGCCCTTTCTTTAAAGATGTTCAAAGTTGGGAACTCAGAAAAATACCCTTGATGACCACCTCTGCCTCTGCAGAGTGGGTCCAAAGACTGGCACAGTTAGGAGGTCTGAAAGTGAGGGGTGGGGGGGACTTATTGGAGTTCAGGGGTGCTCGCGCGGCTACCCTCCTGGCTTGAGCGATGGCAGCTGGGTCGGGAGCAGGCATGGCTCTCCTTCCTGCAGTGGATCGGGGCCCAAGCTACCTCCTGGCGCTTGAGCAATGGCCTAAAAATATATCTTAATAGTTGCATAATATTCCATTATGTGGCTGTGCCCTGTAATTTAATAATGTCTCTATAATTTGATATTTAAGTACTTTCCAATTTCCTAAAGTTTAGAATGATGTTGATATATACCAGGTTATAAAAATCCTCATTATGATCTTTTTCATCTAGGTATTGAGTTGTTATATTTTACCTATTTCTAATGTAATAACTGAGCATTTTCTAGTTAAAGGTATTGTACACTGTTAAGAGCTATATATAAGACTGAGATTCAAAGGCACTTGCTTCAAATTCCAGCTTTTCTATTACTAAATGGTCTTATTAACCAGGGTAATTTAGTCAGCCTTTCCTACCTCATTTTTCTTATCTAAGATATAACATCTATTTGTCAATGTCACTGTCTTTACCAAATTAAATATGTATTAGTATTAAATTCATGCTAACTGCATCTAAATCTCATTGCTGTCACTTATTAAAGTCTGTTTTTCAAGCTATCACTATCACTGACCTGGGAAATGAGAGTCCCACATTACAGAGGAATACTCTAGGGACTTAAATTAGGTTTTGCTATCTCTACTGTAAAAACAGTTGACTTCCCATTCCAACTTTGACTTTCCCAGGGACATCTTCCCAAGGCTACCTGAGAGCTAGGCTGACTTTCTAATACTCGGATGGAGAGTCTGATGGTTTATGGTGCCTTCCCTTCAGCTGTTGGCTCTCATCTCCAAGAAGCAGAACTAAGCTGAGATCATGAGATTTAGAATGACTTGCTTTTTGAAACTTCACATTCTCACTTCTAGGTCCTCCACCCAGATTTTGGCAGTTTCAGTATCCCTTACTCTTGGTAGGAGAAGGTCAATTAATTCTAGATTATGAGAACATAATATTTTTTGTGTGTGCAGTGATTCTGATTTTACTTTTCCATACTTACACAGGGCAAATTCACCACAGCCAGTGATGTGTGGGCCTTTGGGGTGACTCTGTGGGAGACTTTCACCTTTTGTCAAGAGCAACCGTATTCCCAGCTATCAGATGAACAGGTTATCGAGAATACTGGAGAGTTCTTCCGAGACCAAGGGAGACAGGTAAGAACTGTTGGGAGGAGATGGAAGTGGATTTGGGTGCTTATAGAAGAGGAAGAAAGAAAAGTTTTGACTTAGCAGGATAGACCTGAGCTGGATGACAGTCTTCTTTTGTCACTAACTTTCCAGATTATTCGAAAGACCAAAGTCATCCCGAGGTAGTCATATATTCTGTTTATTAATGGTTTCTACTCGTTGATTCTTGGAAAGCATGAAAGGTTTCAGGAAATAAAATCTTACCTCTTTGACCAATAGTTGTATCTATTTCTTGATTTAGATCATCTGGTTTGTCTTCCTCATTAAAAAGTATGTGTGTAAAGAGGAATAAGAAACTTATCAGCATTTGGTAAAGCCTTAAAAGCCAGGTATATTGGTGCACATCTGTAATCCCAGCACTCTGGGAGGCTGAGGCAGGAGAACTGCAAGTTTATAAACCAGCTCAGGCAACTTAGTGAGACTGTGTCTCAAATTAAAAATAACAGAAGGGCTGGGGATGTAGCTTAGTGCAAAGTTATGAAAAAAATCCCTAGTGTACCAATATGTCTAGACTTGAATGTGCAGAAATGGACAGGTGTATCCTGGACTTCATTTTCCTGGGAGGCACCTTTGGGTCAATTTAATGATGCTGCTCATGACTCAGGGAAAGCTGGATTCCTCAGATTTCATGGAATCCCAATTTCTAGACTTCTTAGGTAAGTTTTCTTTAGTTAGCTCAATTTTTAACATTTCCATGAGATCTGTTTTAAAACTTGCCAGTAACTAGTACATCACATTTTAATGTGCATTTCAAAGTGACCTGGTAACAGAATACTCAGATTGTGGCATCTCCAGCAGGAATATAATAATAGCTGGAGAAGGCTTTAGCAGAAAATAAAAAGTTGATTCTCTGTGGTTTAAATAGACCTAAGCAAACAAATGATAAGAGAATGACAAGAATAATGCATAATCTATTTTGTGAATGAGAGTGGGAACCTAGAATTTAATTTTATCTTGATATTGTGTTGGATATTTTGCTAGTAGGGGTTCTGAATTACATATTTTGGTTGTGATGCAATTGCCTTCTATAATAAAGGGCAAATGTACTTCTGTGTCCATGAAATAAGCAAACACATTAAGAAAAACATCTTACTTTATATTCTCCTGGACTAATACGTCCCAGCCACCGACCACAGTGACCCTTGAGAGAACACATTGCCAGTTAAAGATAGCGTGTTTAACTAGAAAATGCAATCGTATCTGCCATAATCATGGTTCAAAATTCAGTATATCCTAAACTTATAGGCAAAAGTAGGTATATTGCAAGCCTTGCAGTATTCCTCAATATATTCAGTGACTGAAATGCTAGAGGGAATTTTTATTATATTAAAAAGATTTTTGACCATCAAACGTACAACAAGGAAAGTCATGCCCTCCCAACCCTTTCATGTTCTCATTACTTTAAAAGTATTCTTTATATTATATAGTTTTTCTTACTTAGTACTAAAAAATTACATGCTAATGATTATATTATTAAATTTCAAAAGGAAACACTTTTTCTCATTTGATAGAAATTTTAGTTTCTACTAATTGCCAAGATTTTATCTTTCTTAGTTTTAGATAACTTTTTGAAAAGGGTGCAATGATTTTCCTTCTTCAGATGCTAGTGGTGCACCATATATAGGTTATGATTTTCAAATAGTAAAGTCAAATATTTGATTGAAGCCATGCCAAAGCCAAATATTACCTTTAGGTGCTAAGTAAAACTGTCATTTAGAAGCATAAATGCTACTAAATTTAATATATTAAACATACTAAATATGATTAAATATAATTTACTAAATTTGTATTTTATTACATTTTGCTTAATGTAATTGGTATTAAATTTATTGGTATTAAATTCAAATTTGGTATACAAATATTAAAAATTTGGCACTGGAGTGCAGGGACAGTAATATTTCAACATTATCAGTGTCTGGATTCTATGGTGACTAGACTAAGCAAGTGTTATATAACTAATTTTCTAGTGGCACTGCTAACCAGCAGATATGATAGAGAAGAAAAAATTTCAGTACCATAGAATCTAGAAAGAATTTTACACTTAGTATTGCTAGCTTAAGCAAATCTTACATTCTTTGTCTTCACTTGAAAATACTCAGTAGTCTACACAATAATTTAAAAATGTATTTGAAACTTTTCCTTTCAAATTTGTCTTAAGATGTGAACAATTCCCAGATGGTGCTTTTCTTGCATGCTTATAGTCTAAATGGAATTAAATACCCCCCCAAATACAATACAGTCTTAAAAGTTTATTTGTTTGATGTTATAAAAGGCAAACAAAATTCTATAGATGTAATATTAATTATTATGAAATATAGCTTCAATTACTTGACAAGTTTTAAGATTTTAAAAGGCAATTTTAATAACAAATTACTACTTTTATTGACATCTGTTGGCTCAAAGTACAAATATGTTTTTTAAATTATTTAATAAGCATCTCAAAAGGGCTTAACAGTTTTAATTTCCATCAATAATGTGTCTGTTATTCTGTACTTTATTTAATTGATAATATTTCTTTTGAATGCTTGGCATTTTACTGCCAGAGTACCCTGTAACATGCTGATAAGCTTGTCAGACTTCATTTGAGATTCCAATAGAAGTCAGAGATATTTACCTTTTTAATTTGTGAATATAGAGCTGATGGGCACAGGAAATGAGCAGACACTGAGTAAATCCTAGCTTCTCTGATGCATAATGCAGGATGGTGTTGGTATAGGGGGCAGGCAGGGCATCAGGAATTGATTGGTTAATGATTAACCAGCTGCAGATGTTGGATTCAGCAAAGGCAATTGACGGATTTCATTCAAAGAGCATGAGAAATTTAGTTATGATTCAGGTATATATCAATGTAAGGTGTAACCAAAATATACAGTGAATGTTTAAATTTAACAATTTTATTACAATTAAAGACACATTTCCATTTACCCCACTCAAAATACCCCATCCCCACTCTGAACACACTTATCACATTCTTCTTGCCACTTTCTGAAGCAGTTCTGGAAGTCCTGTTTGATGAATGTCTTCATGAATTGTGATAAAAAACTGTGAATGTGCTGCTATGTGCTATCCAATTGAATGGCAGACTATGAAAACATTCTTCAAGATCTGACACTGTGTAACTTCTGGCTCTTCTCTAAAGTAAAAATGACCATGAAAGGTAAACATTTTGAATCAGTTCAGGGCATTGAAGCCACAACATTGCAACCAATGACACTCACAAAAGAAGACTTCCAGAATTTCTTAAGAAAATGGCAAAAATGATAGGATAAGTGTGTTTGAAGTGAAGGGTAGTATTTTGAGGGCAATTAATAGCAGTGTGTCTTGTACTGTAATCAATTTTTAAAATTTAAAAATTCATTAAATATTTAGTATTCTGATCTCGAAAATGACCTGGGAGTCAACACAGTAATATCTTACTTGAAATAATCTGTAATTGCCAATTTCAGAGTAGAGACTTAATCTAGAATTCAGAGCAGGACTAGAGATAGGGTAAAAGCACTGACTTTGGGGCAGGCTACAATGCAGAAAGCTAATCTCTTCTATGTGGGACTAGTAAAGAAAGGGAAGCACAGAAAACATTATGGCTAGGGATTACATGGACACATCATGCACCCTAGTTTCTGCATCTAAGATTTTATTCCAGTCAAGAAACTGAAGCTATTAATGAACTTTCTATGAATACCATGCTCACCTAAGACAAACCTTCATATAGGAAGAATCAAACATGGTCTACCATGAAACATCTGTTCCCTTTTCACTTCAGTTTCATCTTTTACAAGAACACAGAGTCAAAAAATGCCCCATCAGAAGTCCTACTCCAGAGAACTGGAGAAAATAATGGGAATGCAGAAGGGACCGAAGTGATTCAGAATGGTTGTAAGAATGGACACAACACCCATGTCAGTAATCATGTCCAAGAACATGGAGTGGGGAAAATCTATGATGCAAATAGTGTTCTTCTTTCTTCCTCTACTTAATATTTTTCTTTCTCTTTTTAAATTTTGTTTCCAAAGACTTACCTCCCTCAGCCAGCCATTTGCCCTGACTCTGTGTATAAGCTGATGCTCAGCTGCTGGAGAAGAGATACCAAATACCGTCCCTCATTCCAAGAAATCCATCTTCTGCTCCTTCAACAAGGTGAAGAGTGATGTTGTCCACGCCTGCCAATGTCCTGATGGCCCCAGTTCTCCCCACAAGACCTACCACTCATCCACATCTAAGCCACTTCATCTGGACATTTAGTGGACCTGAGGGACAGAGGCTTGTTTGCTTTGCTCTCTCGCTGTCTCTGTCCCTCTCTTCCCTCACTGTACTATCCCACTCCTTACCACTGATTCATATATAATTTTTTTTTACATTAAATAGCTAAAAAAGAAAAAAAAATGCCTAGGACAAATAAAATGTAGTAAAAGAAATCTTACTTGATATAACAAGTGTTAGATAACAAAGGCTAGAAAATTCAGATAATTTATAAAGTTTAAATAGGCTTATGTTTATAAATGTGCAGATTTGACAATATTTTTTCCATGTCACCTTTTATAAAATATCTTAAAAAAAGGAAAATTTGAAGAATGCTAATATCTTGGGAAACATGAGATAAGGCATAGGGAAAGAATTGGTAGCCATGGAGAATCTGAAGACTCAGCATTCAACAACTAATCAAAGATGGTTTTGTGATTTGAACTCTGGTCATGTTGCACCGTATTTTTCCTTTCCTGTCAAAGTGTATGGCACATTCTTAAAGAGTCTGGTTCTTGGAATGGCTATTTTCTTCATTCAGGGGCAGGGATCAATATTGAAGTTCGCATGTGAAGCAGCAGGGATGTAGATAGGAAAGAATATCTGTTACAAGGCTGTAGGAAAGGGAATGGTAATTAGGACTCCTGCTTGGAAGAATTCTTGAATAGGTAGGGGATAAAGGAAAGGAATTCTGTGGAGGTTAACTGACAGATGTACTATTCATTTGTGAGGATCTTCTTTATTCTGTTCTGATATTTCCAAGTGTATATTTTAGTGAAATTTTGATTTTTTTAATCAGTAAAACCTGATTGTTTTGGTATCTTGATGGGAGGTCCTTTGGCCCTTCTTCCCCATATTTATAGCTTTTTTTTTTTTTGGTACCAGGGATCGAACTCATGACCTTGTGCTTATGAGGCAAGTGGTGGAATCACTGAACTAAATCCCTGGCCCCAGATCTATTGCTTTTAATCGATAAAATCTCTATGGGATACACGCACTGGGGGCTGAACTTCTCTGGCATAAATACCGAAAGGCCATTTATAGCAGGGAGTGAGATCTACTCTGAGTGTCCCCAAAAGGTTGATCTAGGACCAATAAGGGGAAACTGTAGGAAGACTTCTTAGGGAATACATAAACAGAGTCTGAACGTACAAATATGAACAGGCTTGCCCCTAAAGACAGGGAGTCCTTTGTTCCTGACAAGGGTCAGATATAGGCTGAAAAATTATGCAAGAAAGATGGAGGTTTTCAAACACAAGGCAAATGGCTGTGTGAGAAAATGTTTAATGTCCTTTAATCCTAAAACTCCTCAATTCCAACGTGGCATACTATGACCATCTACTGCTACTGCTCAGTGTACATGCTCTTGCTTATGATGTGATGTGACCAGCAGAAAACCAAGAGGCTCTGGTGTCAGAATTCATGGAAGTAATGCAGTACTGAGTAGGAGTCTCCTTAGAGCAGAATCTGAGCTTTGATCCTCCACAAATCTGCAGATTCAGTGGAAATCTGGAAAAGGGGACCCTTAATTTCCATTGAGGACAAACCAGAAAAGATTATATAGATAAGATTCCCAAAGAAATTGCTTTGACTGCTCAAGTCTGCTTGTATTGCTTTTCCATCCACCTTTTCCATAGTCTCTTGAGAATGCTAATGTTCCCCCACTCGGCCTACAATATAGCTACTGCTCCAGCCACAGCCTTAGCATAAATCTAAGTCCTTAAGGCTCATTTTGCAGATCATGTTCTGACTGTAGCAAACACCCTTTCTCCATGGATGTCCTATGGCTCTACACTTTAGTGTCTCCCAGGATTAACTTTGGAGAAATCATCAGTTTGCAAGGCAAGAAAATACTGGTTTGGGAACTTTGAACCTCTTTCTGCATCAAGGCAAGTGTACTGTCTTGGGCAAGTCACTTTGTTTCTCAGAATTTTGTTTCCTTATCTGTGAATTAAGAAAAGTGAAACAGAAGATCTTGCAGACTCTTCTAGTTCTAATATGCTCAGTATTTGCTGGAAAATAGATATGGATTTAGCAATTTTGTTATCTCCTGCTCTAAATATTGTGGCCACTAAAAAAGGTCCTGGGAAATGTAATAGTACTAGTAGTGACACTTGTATTTGTATATTGCTTTGTGGTTACCAGGTGTTTCCATTTACATTATCTCGTTTACTATGTTAAGAGTTAAGCATGTTCTCCTCCAAACTTGCCACACTCTGATTGCAATTGTTAGCTTCCTTAGAATTAGAAGCATCTGAAATCAAGATCTCTGGCCTGTTCTCTTTTATCCTTTGTGCCTCAGGAGGGATTAATCCAGATGACTTCTTATGCAGCAAGAGAAAAGAATATCATTTTGCTTTTGTCTATATCTCTCAATTTTTTACATTTTAGGCTTCTGTTCCAACTCGCTGTATTCAATGATCTCATATTTTGAAATCATGGTTAGATTGGGATTAGAATATCTGGATTTTTCTGAGTTTGAGTCACAGAAGTAATTTTTTTAGGTGACTGTTAAATGTGTATTGTCATATACAGGAATCTTCTGTGGGTGAAGAAGGCTTTATCTTATGCCCCTGAGCCCTTTGTATTTTAGACATAGGCTTAACTTCTAATCAAGTCATACTTGTAGAGTTTAGCAGCATAAATTTGAGTGACCTAACAGAGTAAGTGGGAAAATCTTAGTACGTAGAATTTAAAAGTAGCTCAAAGTGAAATTAAAGGAATGGAACTAGGATTTGTTTGGAAAAGAAGGTAGGAAAATTGATGAGAAACTGTGGGGCTTTTTTGATTTTTGCAGTAAATTATCCTCTTCATGATATATGTAAATCATTTTATGTCACCCTGTGTTTTAAGATTATCAGATCTGAATTTATACTTTTGCTGGTCAATGGTTAGATCCAAATGTTGACATATACATCACATATGTGATCAGGCATTAAAAGAAGTGCCCTAAGGGAGCTTGTGATTTTAAAGCTATGGAAAAAAATCACACAAGGGTGTTTAGGGGTGTGTAACAAAGAGAGTTTTGTGCAAGTGGGTAAAAAATGAAGTGGATATGTGAACGTGTGCATGTGTAGATGGAGAGGTTGGAGAAAGCCAGAAAGGAGGCTCCAAGAGGAGAGGCAGTGAGAATGCTTGGGAAGGGAAGATGTGTCCAGCTTAAGCAAGGTGGAAACCAGCAACTTGGATCTGATGAACTCCATGGTGGAGCATAAAGGCGAGACTCTCTGAAGAGAGCTCTGAGAGAAGCTAGAAAAAGTAAGTGACTTGAAGATTGTATTGAGAAGTATTGAGGTGGACATGGAGATCTAGAGGTAGGGAGTTTCTGGTACTTTCTGAATCTTTGTGCTTCTTTCTCTTGTTTTTGCTAATGAAACCCATTTTCAATAATGGCTGCAGGTAGGCATATGGAAACAATGAGCATCAGTTAGACAAAACTAAATCATTTGTGATATCTACACAAAGGATATGCACCATATTGGAAATGTGCTTTTCAGTTCCATCCAGACTTCCCACAAGAAAGGCATGATGTGGGTGGGGATGTGTTTTGACTAAAAAAGAACAGAAGGAAGGGAGTGTCTCAATGAGGGAAAGGGAAGATGTGCCGAGGAAATACACTAAAACAGAATAGCATCTCTTTTACCCAAAACTACAAAAATGAAGAGAATGACAATATATAGCCATTAAGTCTTTGATCCTCAGCTGAATTCATAGACATAGAACTTGCTATCTTAGTCTTTTCCGTGAGACCTCTATCCTCTGGAAGTGCATATGGTAGGTCCCTAATGTTTCTGGACCACGTCAATCCTGATCTACTCTGGGAAATCCTTCTGGATTGAAATTTCACATTTTTATACAAACAGATGAATGTCATTGCCACTTGGTAACTTACCTGGAGTGCTGAATTAGAAGTGAAAAAGATGGGGGTGATTAATGAGGATTCAATTTCTGGTATTTTGAGTTCCCTGCTCCAATAAGCTGCTCCAATTAGCTGCAATTTTTAGTGGCAGAAAATAATATTTATTTAGTTACTGTATCTTTTTTGAAAACTTATCTTAAAATAATTTAAGACTCACAGGAAGTTAAAAAATTACAAAGTGGTCTTACCCTAGATCCAGTGTTCCCTTGTCAATAGTATTTTACAGTCCATTTTAAACTATGGAAACAAGAGTTCACTTTGAACCATTTTTCAAAACCAGGAAATTGACACTGGTGTACTACTACTAACTAAACTACAGACCTTATCTGATGTCATTAGTTTTTCCACATGTTCTCATTTAATTGATAGATTCTTTTTTTTGCTGATTTGTAACCTGGCATTGCTTAGATGAAACATGAAAGACATGATTTGGATAGAATTAAACAAAATTTGAAATAATGTTCAAGAGAACAAATTAATGTGCTCATTTATCAATGAGCCATATCATGCCTAACCTGGTTCCAAATTTTAAGGTTAGTTTGTTTGGATCTGAAACAATCCAAGGACAAAATAGATCCAAGAACAATACAAAAGCAATAAGACCTATGCATAGCTTATTGAGTAGAGAGCAGATCCAGAAAGAAAATCTAGGTAATGTGGTTCCCTCAGTTCGTACAGGTGAGTAGGATTTTCACTAGTGCTAAGGAGAACACTTTAGAGTGAACCAGTGTTTTAGCCAAGAGTTGGGTTGCAATTATTTAACAGCACCAGTACAGCTTATGAAAGGAACAGAATACAATGGTATAGATCCCTGATGTGTGTGATGAAACACCTTTTTCAGAGTAGACAGAAGTTTCATAAATATCTATTCTTAATTAGAATAGCAATCACATTTGTCGAAATTAAATGCAAACAGCCCCAAAATGGGGAAAGTTGAAACTATGATTCTGTAGATTATGGCCTTAAACTTTGTGATCGCCATTTTTAAGCTGCCCTAATCAAGATTATAATAATATGTCTTGTAAAGTTCTGAGGACATTTGTAAACACTTGCTGAATATTTTGTGAATGTTTTTTGAATGAATAAAATATGGATATGTTATCTAGCAAGGATGAACCTAGGAGAATTGATTTACTTTAACATTGATGGTTTATTTTGAAATAAGAAACAATGCCCAGACCTCTAAGTAGGTGCAGTGTATCCTCCATTTGGATACTTGGTGATGAGAAAATTGATCAGTGGAAATGATTTATCCTTTGTGGTATTTAAACAGTACTGCAAGGTATCTTAATAGGACATAAGATCAAAAACAGTCCAGTCTCTGGCTATAAACCCAGCACATTTGATATACACTTTTTAGTTTTTCCTGTAGATGTCTTGTCTACAACTTTACAGACCTCTTATGGAAAAGGGATCTGAATCCCAAAGTAGCTCATGCTCATGTCCAGGAAGAATTTTTAAAAAGACACACACACACACACACACACACACACACACACACACACACACACACACACTACAGAGTCATTTTCCAAAAGAGAGGCTTGGAAATAATGGAAAGTTGTAAAGATTCTTGCAAGCACACAAAGTTTCTAATTTAGCCTATTTTAATAGTTATTTACTATTGATGCTATCTTACTTGTCTCCTGTTTTCTGCTGGTGACTTTTTTTGAGGACTGAGTTTCTGCAGCTGTGTGGTACACTCTATGATTAGGAAGCATCTGGGCTTTTTTTGTAGGATAATGGGTAAATAGAAAATGGATTTAATTTCTGCTAAAAACTATCATAGACATTCCAAAAGAGAATATGTAAAATTTTTCTGTATTAGAAAAACAAACATGCTACCAAATGTATATTTTCTTTTCTTTATTTATTCTCTGTAAGTCTGTCAGATGATAAATTGTAAATAACAATGATTAAAGAATCATGCTACTGATGGATACTTCTCTGTGTAAATAGCTCCTGTTCTCAGCTTTGTTACCTTTCTTCCTTGTATCATTTTTGGAGAAAGGATAGGATGTGAAGACACAGCTGTGGGTATATATGTGAGGTGGATGCCTGTTTGTTGATATATCGAATGGTGGTTATTTAAGCAGTCTCCTAATATATTCACTCACTGTTAATTGGAAGAAAAACATTTTGGTCTCCAACATTGTAAAGACGGATTTTATGTTCTCACATTAATTGGTTCAGTTCTGGGAAATCAGTCCAGAGTTAAATGGGGATCCTTATCACTATTGTTGCAGAGTTATCTTGTTTGATATACATAAATTCCTGCTAAATCCAGACATGATCTGTCTCAGACTCTCTACACATGTACAAACCAAGAAGAAATGCACAGCCAGTATATGAACTCCACAATAGAGATTAGGATGAAATCACTCAAAAGAATACATTTTACCTGATGAAGTTCATATTTCAACTCAGATTAACTTGGTTTTCTGAGTAAGATAGCACATTTCTTTCAGCAATGGTCATGGTAGGTAAGGAATGGACAGAAATTCTAAAGAACAAGAGGGCTCATGATTGCTCATAGACTCTGCAGTGTCTGGTTTGGTTTTAGGGATTCAGGTTACAGAGTGATGGGAGGGGCAATGGGGCAGAGGTTTGAAAAATGTACAATTCTATTGTCAACACCCATTGCCAAGGTTTAAACATAAGGCTGAATAACATATATTTAATATATATATATATATAGATATAATCTATAGATATATCAGTGTATAACATATAAAAATATACATGGTGTGAACATTTAAATTAAAAGTACAATTTATTACAGTAAAAGATACATTACTATTAATTCCCTTCAGAATACTCCCCCTCACTTCAAACACACTTATCCCATTGATTTTGTGACTTTCTGAAGCAGTCCTTGACATCCTCTTTTGTGAGTGTCTTTTCACAGCTGCCTCAATGTCTTGAATCAGTTGAAAAGTTTTATAGCAATTTCTGCTAAAAAAAATATTCTGGTGTGTCCTCATCTACCTTTTCCATTAGATTTGGTGCTTTGCAACTTCTGCCTATTCCCCAAAATCAAAATGCGTATGAAAGGTAAACGTTTGGAAACCATTCAGGACATCAGAAATCTATCACAGTATAACTAAAGAAAACACTCATGAAAGCTTCCTAGAACTACTTCAGAAAGTGGCAAGAATGATACGCTGTGTATTCAAAGTAAAGAAGATTAATGGCAGTATGTCTTAGTGTAATACATTTTAAAAAATTATTTGCCATATTTTTATCACACTGCATAAAAGAATGTATGTGTACAGACATGCTATGCATGTATCTGAATATATAAATTGTTAATAAGGAAGATTATATCTGCTCTTATTTAACTAGTAGATAGAGACTATCTTTTGTTGTTTTTAGGACCAATAAACTGACATTTTCATTTATAATTTTATAATCATTTTATATTTGATTAAAAATGATATGTAATAATACCTCGGTTCGTGATCACTACTTTTCATGAACAATTTGGTTCACAAATGGGAGTGGTAGGCAAAATTTTGCTTTCATTCTCTAACTCTGCATAGGATGACAAACATGACTTTGGCTATCTTCCCCAGAATTGTGGAACCAAATAAGTTCATGAACTGAGGTACCACTATACTTATATCTGTAAATAATCCCTTATGTGGCTCTTGAATCCTATATGAGAATCCTATCAGCAACACATAACATTTTGCCATTTTATTTATGAATGGGCTAGTCTCACTCCAAAGGCAGTTTTAGGCCAATTTAAATGAGTTAAAGGGAAATGGATTAAAGTTATGAACAAGAGAAGCTTCATGGATTTACTGGCAGTTGTTCTGTTGCCTTTGTTTGCAAACTAGAGGCAAGTTAGTTCTAGAGAAATGTGTAAAGACCAAGGATAGAGCTCTGTTACTGGAGCAAAGGATACCTTTTACTCATCCTTGTTTATCTAAAGGACTGCTGCTGGTACTATAAGAGGAAACAGAAACTTGTTTCAGCACTTAAGGCAGAAGCAAATTTATTAAATGAAGTAGTAGATAGACATTCAAAAGTAGAGATGCTATTATTTACTATTCAGTTTGTCGGTGACAGACTGAGACAATGTGCGTGTTCTCCTGGTTTGAAAGAAAACTGAATGAGCCCTTGAACAACATAAACCTAAGATAGTTTGGGGTGATTAAAACAATTACACCTACCCATCCACCTCTGATTAAAAACATACAACAATTGTTACAGTACTATTAAATGACATGTGTTGAAAACAGTTATATTTTCCTTGTCTTTCTGGAACTCCTAACAGTTCAGTCTATCTTTCAGGTGTCAAAGCACTTTGAAAACACCAACTTCAGTTAAAAAAAGGAAGAAGAGGCCCAAACCTCCTTGCTCAGCCTGGATGGAAATCACCACAGGGGAGAACCTACTGGTCTTGCTCTGAAGTCTTCTGACCTTCCCTTAATTTACAGTCTATTCTACACTGGCTGTCATCCCAAGATTAGGGTAACCAGGACCTCTGGTGTCTAGGCTCTTCTCCTTTCTATGTAGAAATGAATTTTCCTTGGGACAGCTACCAACTATCTCTCCTGTCTTCTTCCTTTTGCACATCACCTTTGAGCTCTAGGACATTTTAAAAGGAGTGTTTAGACTCTCAAGATTGGGGTTAATTTTGTTTTTTGTTTTTGTTTTTAATTATTGAGGACTGAAGCTAGGACCTTCACACTCAATTACACCACCAGATGTTTTATTTTGAAACAGAGTTTTGCTCAGTCACTAAACTGCCCAAAGTGGGCTCAAATTTGTGATCCTCCTGCCTCAGATGTCCGGAGTGCTTAGAGTACAGGCATGTGCCACAATGCCTGGCTAGGACTGGGATTAATTTTACTTTTGGAATTTTAGAAAATACCAGTAAATTGTAGTCTCTACAGTTGAACGTGGGATGAGGAAGGCAAGTTCCATCCCAATTATAAAACACTCTTAGAAATTGAATGTTAAAGTAATCAAATTTGTTCTTTAAATCTGATTTTAGGGTATAAAATAAAGGATTACTAAACAAGTTTGTGTCAATTAGTGCAAATCTTTAGGATAACCAGTATAGATTACCTCAGTCATTTAGAGATCATTGCTGTTCAATAGATAATTAAAACTTTGAAAGAAATCATGAAGTAAATTAAAGTATGTACAGGAGATTTTGATATATAAATGTGCAGTTTTAGTCTGTTAACTGGGACTGGTTAATAGTCTATATAAATATAGAAATTAAGCCTAAGGATTAGAAACATATCAGTTCGACACAGTATGTTTACACGTGTTGAATCTAATAAAAATTTGAGTTTTGTAATTTCTATGCATTTTGCTTTCTATTTTTCCAGTAATTCTTTTTTGTGTTTTCCACAAGTACTCCTCTAGGATGACTTGGGCACAAAAAACAAAACACAAAACAAAATAGCAACAACCAAAAACATCCTTTACCACAGAGATTTTGAGAGGCACTGATGTAGATTACAGCACATTTTAAGTACTTCAATTCTGAGATACCCTAATTCTGTGCCACGTTCCAAGATTTAAGACTGGTGTCCCACACTCTTCTTAATGAAATCAGCGCTCATTTTCCCAAAAAGTTTTCTTTGGAGAAGGAGGTCAGGGATCAGAAGCCAGATCTACATATCCAAAAAGGAGAAGAAAATTTAAGTTGATAATTCCTTTTGGTTGCTAGATCCAATTTTTTTTTTTTTTTTTTTTTTTTTTTTTGGTACCAGGCATCAAACTCAGGACCTTTGCTTGCAAGGAAGGCGGCGGAACCACTGAGCTAAATCCAGGGTAGCCCAACCTTTTGTTTTAAAATAAACTCCGATACAAATCTCCAATAACAAAGCTGTAGGCCCAGGACAGTGTCTCTGTTCCACTAGTACGCCACGCCCACTCCCGGGCAAAGTCCTGGCGCCAGGAACTTGATGAGTCAGGGATGGACCCTGAGCGGAGGAGGTCTGGCCTTTTCTGATTGGCTCGGACCTTTGCTTCACCTAGCCCCGCCCCTCAGCCTATCTCACCCCACGCGTCTCTGGCGCGACTAGTGAAAGCAGAATGCGATTGGTCGGCTCAGAGCGGCGTCCATGACGCAAGGGGCTGTGGGGCAGGGACTGTCTCTAATTGGTTGGGATTACTGGTGGGTGAGGCCAGGTGAGCGAACCAGGTTTTTAGTATCTGAAAGCCGAGGAGGTAAGCGTCTGCTTTACTGCTTGGAGTCTGAGAGCGCTGAGATGAGGAAGGTGGTTTTGGTCACTGGGGCGAGCAGGTGAGGCCGCCTACGGGATTGCAGAGGCTGCGTTCAGGGGTCTGCGGGAGGGGAAGTGTGAGGCCCGCTACTAAAGACCCCAGCAGCACCGCTCTTGACTTTTCCTCGGTGGGGACGGGCCGATATCCTGTCTGGCTCTTTTCTAAGTCCCCAGGAAATAGGAGCTGGCGCTTTTAATTGAAAGCTGTCAGTGGAAAGCAAAACCTGAGTGCCAGTGAGTGATCCATGTTGCAGTGATGAGCCTGAGTTTATCGGGGAAAACGGAACTTCACACTTGGAGATACACATGCGCGCGCGAGGGCCTTTAACCTACATTACGGGGTTTCCTGTCAGTGCTAGAGTTTTAGTCCTGACTACTTGGCCCTATCTTACACACCGCGTGTTTAAATTTTAACATTCACTAGCATTAGGACGGCGGGCGGAAATCTCATTCCATTTTCAATGATGTTCAACTTGGACTCAGCCTTCTTTATTGTCTGCTTTGTTTCTCATTTGTGCTTCCATGAAGAACAAGCAAACTATTTTTCTGCTTGTAACACTTGGCATTTTTGAGGGATTAAGAGATTGGGAGTGTAAAATATTATTTAAGACTATTCAGCTTTAGTTATCTGACCATGTCCATGTGAGCCAAGCCAGCAATATAAGGCTGTGTCTGTGGGCAGTTTTTAATGTGCCCTCCTATTTGTGTCAACTGATGTGCTTTTTATGTTGAAAATATGTACATAAAGCAGAATTGATTTTGTGTTTATTTCTTTTACATGTATTGTGGAATGTGCAATTGCATATTGATCTTTAGGGACCTGCTATCAGAAGTGAGGATGAATACACGTAGATATACTTGGTGCTGTATTGGCAGGGCATTTGGGTGACTGATGGTTTCAGGCTGTTAGGTGCAGGTTTCTATTTGCCTGCAGTTAGCTCAAGTCTTGGAAGACTGTTTATTACAGTTTTCTTTGCTGCCAATAAAGCTGATCTGGCTTCTGTCCCCATCTAGTGGGAAGTTTTATATTGCTTTCTGAAGTAGCTCAATAAAAGTCTTTTAGTAGTATATGCTGCTCTTTCTTGGAACACATCCAGTATTTATTCCTATGTTCTACTTAATCATGCTGTTTTTCCTCTTTCTGTTGGTTATTCAATCATGGTAGTTGAGAGGGATTTGTGCCTCCTTCTGTGATGTTTCTTTCTAAAAACCCATCCCTTAATAGGGATGCCTGGTGTTCCTCATAGTGGCAATACTAGCAACAGGTAGTGGTAGTCCTTATTGAGAAACCTAGACATCAAATAACACATGTGTACAAGAAACAGCTAAGAAGGTGTCCCTTTGCAGCACTTACTGGTGATTTTTTTTCAATAAGTTTATTGGTACATTTTAGGTATACAATACAGTTACATTCAGCATTGGGAACTTGTACCTTTACATGATATATCCTGGGTTTTTATTTTTTCCCCATTCCCCTGCCCTCCCTTCAACCCCTCCATCCCTCCCTATTTACAAAGACTTTGTTTCCATTGTTTTGCTTTTCTCATATTTTTCCTTTCATGTTTTGAAGCACTTTTGTGAACAATATAGTGAGTATAAGATGAAAACCAGGTATGTATTGAATGTTTTGAAATAGGAGAGGCAAATCAGACATCATCCTGAGCAAGTCACTGTAAGAGTGGGGGATTCCTTCCTTACGTAATGTTTGAGTATTTCCTCTCTGCTTGGGTTTATCATTGGAGCTCAAATTGACAGTTTGTTTTCTGAACTAAGGAAAGAAATGCCTTTATTTGGCATCATCTCTGCTAATACATGTCCTGTGCCTAAATTGTCTTCTCAGTGGCATTGGCCTTGCCCTTTGCAAGCGGTTGCTGGCTGAAGACAATGAGATTCACCTGTGTTTGGCATGCAGGAACATGGTCAAAGCAGAAGCTGTCCGGGCTGCACTTGTGGCCTCTCAGCGCACTGCAGAGGTCACCATTGTGCAGGTGGATGTCAGCAACCTGCAGTCAGTGTTCCGGGCTGCCAAGGAACTTAAGCAAAGGTATGTCTCTTGTTGACAGATGTTTTACATATATTATTGTACAGCATATGGCTTGATATTTGGATTTGTTTTTGCATATTTCCTCCACATAAATTCATTAAGGAGGCAGGGAAAGTACCAATATTTGACAAGTGACATAGAAATAAGAGTAATATTGCTAATAGAATCATCTGACTTGTTTTGTTTGTGTTTGTTCTAGAACTCAGTTGTTTTCCCTTCTTCCTCAGAATTTTTTTTCCTCAGACTAGTAAAGATTTGTTCACACCTATATGGTAATTGGCATGTAATAAGCATTTGACAGATATTTAGAATAGGAGTCCTTGGATGTATGGGTACTGGAAAGTGTACCCAAACTTGTATATATGTACACAATGCATTTTTTGAGGGGGGGTGCATTCTTTTTAAAACTTTTATGAGGAATTTATGATTAAAAAAGTTGCAGACTTTGCACTAATCCATGCTGAGCCACCAAGCAATTTGAAGTAGCTAATTTTCAAATATTGTTATAATTAGGGCCCTTAAGAAATGAGGAACTATTTTATTTCCTTGACAGTAAAATGAAATAAGATAGAAAAAGCAAAGTCTTCTTGTTGAGGACATTTGCTGGAGAATAATGCTTTTTATTTTATTTGTACGACTTGACAGTCATTTGCACTTTCCTGTTCCAAATGCACAAGTTATAAAACAAAATCTAAATCTGTTGTTTTTGTTCCAGTTCTTCTCAATGTGATCTTAGGCTTTTATGAATGTGGTTTCTTTGTCCTCTGCTACTGAGCATCTGGAGATTTCTCCCACATCATTTGTGATATATTCTACATCTCCAAAACTTACAGAGGCTCTAAGCCTCTAAAACTGCATATTAATTGTCTTTACAGAGTTAAAAAAAATAGTCTCAAGAGAGAACTTTGTAGGCATTCTTTTCCTAGACTCTTCTAGCCAGCTGGCTATCTTGCCCAGTTTTATAAATGTATTTTTTCCTTTCTTAGCAGAAAAGAACCATCATCTTCAGTTCCTAGTATCACATTTCGATACAGTAGACTTTTGAGACTTTTAAGTTTTAACATTTGTAATATGAACTATTCTCAGTTGCTTCCAAAAATTGGAGATATTTGGTAATTTATCACAATTTTAGGAATGTACACTTATGAGATATTTAGCAATAGAGCACAAATTAAAATGGTGAGGCTGTGGGACATAAAGGAGCATTGAAGGTGATTTGTTCCGACTGTGTTTCATCAGCATTTTAGTGTGACTTTGAAGTATTTAATCCACAAATAGTTCTCTTTGAGATAGATGGGTGCTGTGACCTGGATTTAGGAAATGATGGACTTGGGAATATGAAGTTATCCAGAGAGTACTCTTGCTTATGTCAAAGCTCTCCTGCATTGAATGGCCCAAACAGATATCATAGATTCTGGACCTGAAGTAAATTAGAGCCAAGAGAGCTAGAGAAGGATCCTTTCCAGGTGGTAAAATCTGTGCCATCCTGGACACTTGGTCTTTTCATCTATAATACTCTGTTCTATTACATTTATGCAATTGAAGACTTGTAAGGAATAATTATGTCCTTTTACCTGGAATCAAACAACTCTATCATCTTTGAGAATAGTAAGTACTGTATATTCTTCTACTGAAGCCAGAGCTTAATTTGGTGCCGTGGTATGATTTTTACTCTTTGCTAAACATTTCTTCTTCATTCCTAGCAAAATAAGTTAATATTCTTAGGTGAAAGTTTTCAAATTAAATAATGAAACAATCAATAGTAGATGATTGTCTTTTTGGCATTCACATGATGAACCAATGGTAGCAATAGCAGCATTGTTAACAGCTTAGTAATTAGAGCTGTTTGGTTGTTTAGTATTTATAGGATTCTCAGGAAGTGCTTGTGTGTGATCTGTACTGGCAACTACATGTAATTCAAGGTCCAATTTGAGTAGCTCTGGCTCTCCCTTGGATTAAATAGAGAACATAGACAATGTGGAGCATAGAATTCTAGGAGTTATCCTGAACATGGATAGTGCCTATGGGTATCATGAGAAAAGGCTCCACCTGTTTCAAACTTAGCTCAAAACAGGATTTGTGTAAGTTTAAAAATGAAAAGGCTTTCTTAGGTCACTATTTCACAGTTCCATTCATGACAGTATTGTGGAGCCTACCAACAGTATCTTAGCCCTGCCCAGCTGTTATAATCTCATTCTATCACGATGAGCTTTCACCATTTTATGAGATGTAGCCCTTGTCCATGAACATTGAACAGTTTTCACTGAGTCTTTCTCTTCTGAATATTTTTTTCTCTTAAAAAAAAGGCAAAAATTTGTAAGATCAGAAAGACAGCAGAGTTAATATAGGGTTACCCCAGTGGCTAATAAGGAAGGACAAAGCAGGAAGAATTTATTAATTAGAGAAGATTTGACTTTAAAGCCCATTGATATCACTGTCTAGAAAAATATTTTTAAAAGGTACTCATATATTTACTGTGCCTACGAAGAAACTGTTGAGAAGAAGTAACACAAAAATGATTTTGAAGATGTTTTCTGTCCTCTGACCTTAGAGATGTCTTAGAGATGGAATATATAGTCTTCTTTACTCTAATAATCTTTTCTTGATATTCTACTTGCAGGTTTCAAAGATTAGATTATATATTTCTAAATGCTGGGATCATGCCTAATCCGAAGCTAAATATCAAAGCACTTTTTTCTGGCCTCTTTTCAAGGTAATTTTTAGTTTTTAGATGAACTTATTAGAAGAAAGATGTTCATTTCTTTGCCTCCTTTTGCCTTTGATGTGTTAAGTTGCAGGGTTGAAAGATAAAGGGATATTGAGGAGGATGAAGACATAAGGAGATGTAGCAACAACACCAAGAAATAAAAGTGATCATCTTTTGTGGGGAACACTGCAAGTTATGGTTCTTACTGTGTTTCCAAGTTAGATATTTTGGGCTATCAGTTTTTGGTCTGCCTGAATGCACACACCTAAATTGGTTAGAGTTCTCAGGAAGACAATACCCAGGAAAATTGAATTGAAAGCATTTCCTACTTGTGTGTCGTGTTCTGACCACACCTGACTAATGACTGCCTAAGAAATTATCAGTATACATTAATGTGGTGACTTTCTAAAATGTTTAACCACAAACCAGAGTAAGAAATAAGTCTTATTTGTGCTTACTCATTCATGCTGCTTTCTACATTGATAGTTTTCTTTACTTTTCTTCCATTAAAACATATATGTACAAAACACATACACAATCCACCCTGGTCGTGACCTACTAAATTGACCTCATAGCAAAACACTGTATCAAGTCTGTTCAATGCTCTTAAGAGCTCCTAGTGAAAAAAACAACCTGCTTCCTTTTTTCAGCAATTAAACATACCCTGTGTAAGCAAAGACTTTTTTTTTTTTTTTTTTGCCTTGGCATAGCTTGATTTGGAAAAGGGCAAGGAGAGTGTTAGCAGTTGATTTTTGAGAGACTTGGCTTTCTTTTGGCAACATAGCTAAAGTTTGTGAGTCTGTGAACTAGGGGAAAGGGAGCATTTTGCATGTCATTTACTTCTCTGAGTAATACAGTCTGAGAAATAGGTATTTTTAATCCTTTCATTATGAAATCAAGGATGGTATAGTTTGTGTTTGCAAGGGGGTTGGTTGGGAGTATATTCAGTATTTTGAAAGTCATTCTATTGTCTTCTGCTATTTCAGAAATGTGATCCATATGTTCTGTACAGCTGAAGGACTGCTGACACAACATGACAAGGTCACTGCAGATGGGCTCCATGAGGTGTTTGAAACCAATGTCTTTGGCCACTTTATTCTGGTAAAACAACTTTGGGCTTAGTGAGCCCCTACTTAGTGCTGTGATTCTAAGGGCTTGCATGTAAACATTACGGTGCTGTTTTATTAAACTTGTTAGTTTGTAGTTAGCATTAAATCTTTGAATATTTAAATATGGTGGTCATCTGACTCTTAAAAACATGACTTACCTATAGTAGTGTATCAATATAGTATTTTTTATTGTTATATCAACTCTGGAGAATGAAGAGAAAGTGGAGAAACAAATTCCTTCAGAAATAACATAGAACTGAGAAAAAGCATATTTTTTCTGTTTGCAGTAGTCTTTGGGACTGGGTTTGGGATCAGATAGCATGGGGCAGTAGGCAAGCCATTATGAACAGTGATAGGTAGTTAACTTTTTATTTTCATGATTTCTGACTCCATAGGCCTCCATACTTGGATGTTAGTTCCAAGTGTACGTGGAAAAGTAAGCATAACTTATTTAGAGACAAGATATCGGAGATGTGTAACTTATCTAGCATGTTCTGTGCCCTTGGCTCAGGTTCTCTCTCATAGGACAGCCTGGACATCTGGCATGGGTAATATCCAACCATAGTGCCAATTGCTTATAATTAATTCTCTGGTGCTTGAAAGGACTGTATTAACTGTTATTTATATTTATAATTACCTTGAACCTAATTTTTCTCAAAATTAAACCTCTTCGAGGACTAGCCTAATAGTGAATTAAGATATGGAGCATTGGAATATTATAAATCATTAAAATAAATGAGATATATATTTTATACTTACAAGGTATACTTACAATATGTCATCTGTGGGACACCCTCCAGTATTTTATTATGAAGAAATAAGGTACAGTATATGTAATGTGCTTTCATTTGTATAAACTGAGAAAAAATATATTTATATATTATTTATATATATAAAATGTTTTTTAGAGTGATACAAATGAAACTGAGAACACTGATTGCTTTTCATGAATTAGGGTACCAGGCTTTTGGAGATGAGTGGGAGATTCGTATTTTATTCAGTATCTTTTAATACTGTATGTTTTTAATGATATGTAATATTAATTTTCAATGCTGTAAGTGCATTCAAATATAAAGTTAGAATAGGATTGAGTTCTTATGCAGTCTTTTTTGTAACTGTAGAGATCTATTAGCTAATATTTCCTATATTTTCTCAATTCTTTCCTATTTGCTCTTTGAATTGTCAAATTGGATAGTAGTGATAGAGGATTAATTCATTAAAGCTATTAACAGTCTTCATTGATCAGTCTACTGTTTAAAAAGTAAATTTGTGAAGAAACTCAAACATAGGGGAATCTGGGCCAAGGGAATGACTAAGGAGGGTTGTCACTCGAGGGCAGTTATCGCAGATGTTGGAATGTGTCTTTTTGTAGGTATGCATGTGAGCAGGGGTTTTGGAGCCCATGTATCAAATGCAATGATATGAAGGCTTATCATGCCTTCTTCCCTTTTCAGATTAGCTTGAAGAATCTTACCACTTTTCATGGAACACAACTTGGATTCTAGGTGCAGTTATAAATGTGTTATATAAATGGGTCCTTCCCCAGTTTGATAATTATGTACAATGAGAAAAGAGTAGAGATAATTTCTGTAAAGTTCCACATGCAATGCAGTATTACAACCGAGGAGCCAGTTCTCTAAATCTTATGTTTATGAGTTTTCTTGCTTACATTTAACTTACTTATTCACTGTAAGCATGGAACACATCTGGAAGCTTTCTTTGTAGAGTTTTGTTTAATGATCTTATTATTTTAAACAGTTTTAGATTTTACAGAATTATTGCAAAGATGGTACAGAGAGTTTCCACATACCCTATACCCAATTTTCTATATTAACATTTTGTACTAGTAAGGTACCTTTGATGAAACAGTATTCCAATAACGATATGTTATTATTACCTAAAAACTATACTTTGTTCATTTTTCTCAGTTTTTGGCTTAATGTTGTTTTTCAGTTTTAGGGTCCCATCCAAAAGTCCACACTGTATTCAGTAGTCAAGTCCTCTTAGACTCTTCTTGGTCATGACAGTTTCACATTTTTCTTGTTTTTGATGCCTTGGCAGTTTCAACGATTTTGTGTATTTTGTAGACTGTCCCTCAGTTGGGCTTTATCTGATGTTTTTCTCCTGGTTAGACTGGAGAATGTATTTTTTGGAAGAAGGCCACAGAAATAAAGTGCTCTTCTCATTATGTCATATCAAGAGCAGAAACTCTTAGTGTGATTTATCAGAGTCAGCATTGACTTTGACCACCTTGCTTGAGGCATCGACTGGCAGGTTTCTACATTGTGATATTACACTTTTCCTGTCTCCTCTTCCACACTTTAATCTTTGGAAGAAAGTTAGTATACATGGCCCACACTTTCGGGGCTATTCTGAACCTCCTCATGGTAGGTTACCTACAGAAATTATTTGGAATTTTTCTGCAAGAGAGATTTCTCTTCTCCATTTCCAGAATTTCTTTACCTAATTAGTTCTTCTGTCTATGGACTTATGGCTGTACACTTCTACTTTGAAGCTGCAGGTAGTACTTTCTGTTGTCTCCTCTATCTCTGGGACTTACTCTCCTCACTACAGTTTTTCTTACTTTAGCTTTCATTTTGAGCACTTTCAGATGCTTCGGACCCATCTTGTATATATGTGCTTCCATTTTAGAATGAGATTTTTCTCCAAAGAGATTTAGTTCTTATTGGAGGATCCAGGTGTTTGTTGCTGTTAAGATGTCAGTTGCTTCTAGGCCCTTTTAGCTAATAGATGAAGGAGTTAAATATGTGTATACTAACTTGTGGGTATGTACATATCTCTAAATATTTTACACACAACCAATCCATATCTCTGCCAGGCTAGACATGAGTCAATGCTGATGTCTCTAATTCTGTTAACTATATTAAGCTCATTCTGGCCTTCTCCTCTTGATTATCTGTTTGCCCACTCTAACAGTGACAAAACTGGCTCCCACCATGTTCCATCCATTTGCTTAATTGTTCCATTCCAGTATAGCTGTATAACAGATTCAAAATTGTGATTGGCTATGCCCTCCAGTTCTTTTTCTTTCTCTTTTTTCTTTTTTTGGTACTGAGGATTGAACTCGGGACCTTGTGCTCGCGAGGCTGGTGGTGGCACCACTGAGATAAATCCTTGGCCCCTCCAGTTCATTCTCTTCATCCATTCAGATTCGGGAACTGGAACCTCTCCTCTGTCACAGCGACAATCCATCTCGGCTCATCTGGACATCATCTCGTAATGCAAAAAAATCTAATTTCACCCTTGAGGACATGCAGCACAGCAAAGGCCAGGAACCCTACAGTTCTTCCAAATATGCCACTGATCTTCTGAGTGTGGCTTTGAACCGGAACTTCAACCAGCAGGTAAGATCTGCCTCGGTGATGGGAAATGGCAGGGTGGTGATTTGTTAATTAACTATAGTTGATTTCCTAACAATACGGCTGGCTTTCAGCTGTTTTAATTTAGATGTAGAGCTGATGTACATGAAAGCTTGAGGACAGAGATATTTTACTTCTGACTTGTTAGGTATGTGATTCATTTACCATTCTGTAGTCTTCAGGAACTCTGATCTGTATTGGCAGTACAGCACCACTGACCATGTTTAAATTCATGTTGGTTCATCAGTTTCTGTTGTTTAATACCTTTCTCATTACAGTTAGGTGAGTCTGATTACTCACATTTTCAGATGAGAATACTGGAGTTCAAAGAAGTTGAGTCATTTACTCAGAGGTTACATAACTGTAAATGGGAGAACTCAGAGTTTAGCCAAGACCATCAGATTTTGCAGCTTGGACTTTTCCCACTAAACCACACAGCCCCCTGGTATTTGTTGCATCAGATGTCTACAAAGCAGTCTGTAGTTATAAAGCCTTCTGGGTAATGGTGCTTTAGGTTGACTCCAGAGCTCAGGCTCTATGAGAGGATCTGGGTTTAGAGAGCGTTTCTTGGGAGAAGGTAAGTCTTGATAGTGATACTGGCTCTTTGTGGCTGCTGTGGTCTGAAACTTTTTCTTTGTATGCTTTGATTGCTCAGGTTTAAACTTTTAAGTGAAAGTCTCCAGTCTTTCTTTAGTTTGCTCTTTGGTATAAGAGTGTGAGGCTGGAGAAGTTGAATTCCATTAACATTTTTCCTAAAGACTGTCATGTGTAGGATACTCAGCCAGACTTAGGGTTGAGGAAGAAGGGGAAATAAAAAGATTGCCAGGAAACCATGTCTTCCCTCAGGGGAACTGTTCTGATCATGAATTGAACATAGAAATCTAGATCTTAGGTGTTAGTTTTGATCTGGTTTTCTCTGGAACAGAGTCCTTTATCAGACAGAGTTCTTTAGCAATCTAACCCTTAGAACCATGGATTTTTTAAAGGAGGTGTTATAAAGTAGAAGCTAAGAGTGTGCTTCTAGAATTGGATTTGAATGATGGCTTTGCCACTAGGTTATAACTTTGGACAAATTATTTAATTTCCTTACTCCTCAGCTTCCTCTTCTGAAAAATAGGGATAATAATAATGCTTGCTTCACAGATTTTCTGGGAGGATTGAATGAGGGAATCACTATATAGCAGTCACAGACAGAATTTCTTCATGTTCAGAATGTGTGTATTTATTTGTAAGCATATGTCCATACACATGTATGGGTTAGAGTGTATGTGAATGTGGTAGCTGTGCTTGAGTGTACATACACATGAGGGTGCATATTTACTAAATGCGTGGGTCTTGTGGGTGTGCTCATTCACACAAGCATGAGCGTACATGGGATGTGTATACATCTGTGTATATGTGTGTGTGTTCTTCTGTTTTCGTGTGTTGGCTGCTATTATTAAAGCTTGGATTTAGTGTGTTGGTTCTGTTACTAATCTGCTGACATTTGTGAGATGTTCAGAAACGTCACAGTTGATCCTTGGTACTCTAGAAACTCCCCTTTAGAGGGCAAGGTCAAAGTGGGTTAGCTTTCATAAAAAGCGCTGAGATTTTATTTAAGTTTCAATTGTCAAGAAAAGTTTGGGATTTCATATTTGTACAGAAAAAGGTGATTTAGCTAATGCTCCCTGCTTAAATCTGTTAGGATTGGTTCTTAGCTCTTGACTTTTCCTTCTTGGCTTTTCTTAAGAAAGAAAAAACTTAGAACAAGTCACATTACACGGTTCCTTTTGAAGTCATGTGTTACTGGAAATGTTGCCAAATTCTATAGATGTTGCCTGATGGATTTTAATAATCCATTAATGACCCATATGCAATCTGTATAGAAATTCTCAGGATCATCATAATTTATTGCCTCTAATTAGGCAGAGGAGGAAGTTGACATGTGAGAAGTTTAAATAATTTGTCTAAGGTTACAAACTAATTCAAAACCAGAATTCAATTCCACATCAGTGGAGCTCAGAAGTTCCTAAAATTCTACTTTATATCGCCCTCCATACTAAAAGGCATGACTCTTAAGAGCTAGTACACTTGGAGAAGACTGGTATCTTTTGCTATTCAATGCCAGAAAGTTGTAAATGATAAAATCTCTCAATTTTTTTTCCTCATTGAGTTTATTGGTACATTTTAGGTATACAGTACAGTTACATTCATTATTGGAATCTTGTACCTTTACATGACAGTTCTTAGTTCTCATTTTTTCCCCTTGTCCCTGCCCTTCCTTCACCCCTTCAAGCTTTCTTAATACACATTTGAAACCACATTCACTGACTGAGAGTTTTCTGCTCTGCCTTTTTCTCTTCTCTTTAACCCAATTTCTTTTTTTTTTTTATTGAGTATATTGGTACCTTTTAGATATACAGTACAATTACATTCATTATTGTGATCTTGTACTTTTACATGACAGGCCTTGGTTCTCATTTTTCCCCTTGTCCCTGCCCTCCCTTCACCCCCTCTATCCTCCCCATTTGCAACCACTTTATTTCCATTTTTTTCATTTTCTCCTATTTTTTCTTTTCCCTTATTACCTTTCCCCTACCCTTCCCACTTCCCCTACACCTTTAGCCCTTTTCTTCCTGTTTCACATTGTCAATTATCTTATGTACTGTTACAGTTTATTCACACCAGAGAAACTATTTGGTATTTACACGTGTGACTTATTTATTTCACTTAGGAGTATATCCTCAATATGTATCCATTTTCCTATGAATGACTCTAATTTCTCATTCTTTATAGCTGAGTAGTATTCCATTTGATAGAAAAATCACATCTTCTTTATCCAGTCTCCAACTGATGGGCAAATGGGCTGTTTCCAAGTTTTAGCTATTACAAACTGTGCCACTGTAAACATAGGTGCGCATATATCACTGTGATATGAATCTTTTAATTCTTTTGGAAAGATACCGAGCAGAGGGTTGTCTGGGTCAAATGGAACCTCTAGTCCCAGCTCTCTGAGGTATCTCCATATTGATTTCCATAGTGGTTGCACCAGTCTGCATTCCCACCAACAATGGAGAAGTGTTCCTTTTTCCCCACATCCCTGCCAACATTTGTTATTGGTTGATTTCTTGATAGCAGCCATTCTTTGTAGGGTGAGGTGGAATCTCAGTGTTGTTTTCATCTGCATCTCTCGAATGACCAGTGATGTGGAACATTTTTTCATATATTTACTTGCTGCTTTTAATTCTTTGTCTGAGAAATGTCTGTTCATTTCAGATGCCCATTTTTGAATTGGGTCTTTATATTTGGGGGGGTGCTGATTGTTTTGAGTTCTTTATATATTCTAGATAATAGTCCTTTGTCTGAGGAGCAGCTGGTAAAATCTTTTTCTCATGTTGTCTCTTAGTTCTGTTGATGGTTTCTTTTTCAGTGCAGAAGCTTTTTAATACGATGAGATCCCAGTTGTTGATTCTTTCTGCTAGTACACCGTGCTACTAAGGATTTGTTCATAAAGTCTTTTTATCTTAAGTGTTTATTTGGATCAATAATCTGACCTTTTAGTTAAGCCAATAACATGGAAAACTCAAGTTACTAGGTTACTAGGGCATACTCCCCCCACACCAGCTTTAAGATTGGTTATTCTTTATACTGTAAACTTCTTGAGAATAGAAACTTTATCTTACTATTTTTTGCATTCACAGTGTCTCTAGTAAAGGGTTCTCAGTGCAGTGATTTTAAACTAAGATGATCTACTCAACTTCGAGAACAACTTAGAGCATAAATTCTTCATCCCTGACTTCCTGGCTTATATATATATCTTGTATTAACCACTATGTAGTTGGACTGAGTTAATATAAACTGAATTAAAATCTTATTGCAACTTTTCTCCATGTTCCCAGGGTCTCTACTCCAGTGTGGTGTGCCCAGGTACAGTAATGACCAATATGACCTATGGAATTTTACCTCCCTTTGTGTGGACACTGCTTATGCCAGTGATATGGCTGGTGAGTGAACACTTTTCTTTAAGTTTGAGAAATGATTTCGGAAATTGATCTTGAAGGTGACAGGATTCCACTTAACTTCTAGTTATTGATGTTACTTACATGTAACTCTTGTTTCATACTTTGTATTTATCACTCTCTTAGTATCTGAGTGTTCACTTTTTTTCCTTTGATCATGCACTATGGAGCCTAAGAGTTCTGTATTCAGATAATTTTGGAAAAACTCACCTAAAGCAGTGTTTGGACTTCTCGTAAGTTTTCAGTGTGGTCATGTACATTAAAAGTTCTCAAGAAAGGGATAACTGTGCATTATATTACCTAGAACTTTATTTTTGTTTGTCTCTTTTACTTTTGGTTTTGAGTATCTTGTAGGATCACTGTTTTTCCAGCATACATTGGAAAATCCTACCTTTAGCAAATAACTCTTTCTTGTTACAAATCAGGAAAAAATGTCCCTCTATAATGGCAGGCATGTTGAAAAGATCAGAAGTAAAGATGCCTTCATGGATAAAGTACTTGACCCAGAGTGATAGAGATTAAGTGATATTTCTTTTTTTTTTTTTTCCCTTTAGGCCTTTTTATTTTTTTGACTCTCAGAAGTGACCTATGATATGAAATGCAGAAGTTCTTAATGTTTAATTGAGTTTCTTTTGTGACTCTGTTCTAAACCACCTCAAAATTACAAAATGTTTTCTTTTTCTCAGCTTCGCTTTTTTGCAAATGCTTTCACTTTGACACCATACAATGGAACAGAAGCACTGGTATGTTCCTACGGTTTTTATAACTTGTATAATGACTTAGTAAATGTGAATTTAGGTTCATGGGTAATAGAAAACATTTCATCTGAAAAGATAGAGAATAAGCCATGTGAATAAGGTGAACTGTCAAGCCAGATATGAAACTTGAGGAGTGGAGTTTGAAAGGGTAGAATCTTCTAGGGCACTGGTGGCCATTATTAGACGGAAAGCACTTCTGTAGGTGTGAGGTACACCAGCAGCTGGAGTAGAGACTGCTGCAAAACACTAGATAGGCAGGCAAAGCAAGATCATGGGGTGATTTTCTACAGAGGTGATGGACAAGTAGTAGGAGCAATGGAGTCATCTCTGTTCCCCTATATGAAGATTCTCTTTCCCCTGTTGGTATTAGAAGGTCAAATTGTTCCCTTATAAGGAAAATAGTACATTACCTTAAATCAAGACAGACAGTAATGAAACATAGTTTGCTGTGCACAATAACATCTCTGAATATTTTTCACCCAGGAGCCCCAAAGGCAGCCTCTACTGGCAGAATAGAATTGTCATGCTGGGTGAGACTTGTCATCTGTACTTCACACCATGTCATTGAAAGCCCAGGGTAGTAGAGCAGTTCCTTATGTGCTCACTACATTGAGCTACTGTATGATTTTGCTCTTTATGCTGAGAACTGTAATACCTATACTTAGTAGATACACAAATCTTGATTAAATTGAAATTAAGTGAGGAAGACATGAAGGGAATTGGCTCAATGCTCTTGTTTTGGAAAGCACTGGAGAATCAAATGCACTTATTGTAGGGATACAAATGGGTTGTAGGAGGAAGTGCTTTTATACTGTATTTTAATTTTATACTGTATTTTAATTAATTCTTAATACAGTTGCCAATCAATTAGAAGTATTAATGCATAGCCTTTTTTTTCCCCTCATTGAGTTTATTGGTACATTTTAGGCATACAGTACAATTACATTCATTATTGGGATCTTGTATCTTTATATGACAGGTTATGATTCTCATTTTTTTCCCCTTGTCCCTGTCCTCCATTCACTTCCTCCTCCCCTCCCCATTTACAATCACATTATTTCCATTTTTTCATTTTCTCATATTTTTTTCCTTTCCCTTATTACCTTTCCCCTACCCTTCCCACTTCCCCTACACCTTTAGCCCTTTTCTTCCTATTTCACATTGTCAATTATATCATTAGGATCTTACGTACTATTATAGTTTTTCACAACAGAGAAACTATTCGGTATTTACACACATGTGACTTATTTATTTCACTTAGGAGTATATCCTCAATATGTATCCATTTTCCTATGAATGATTCTAATTTCTCATTCTTAATGGCTGTGTAGTATTCCATTTGATAGAAAAATCACATCTTCTTTATCCAGTCTCCAACTGATGGGCAAATGGGCTGTTTCCATGTTTTAGCTATTACAAACTGTGCCAATGTAAACATAGGTGTGCATATATCACTGTGATATAATTCTTTTAATTCTTTTGGAAAGATACCGAGCAGAGGGATGGCTGGGTCAAATGGAACTTCTAGTCCCAGCTCTCTGAGGTATCTCCATATTGATTTCCATAGTGGTTGCACCAGTCTGTATTCCCTCCAACAATGGAGAAGGGTTCCTTTCTCCCCACAACCCCACCAACATTTGTTATTGGTTGATTTCTTGCCAGCAGCCATTCTTTGTAGGGTGAGGTGGAATCTCAGTGTTGTTTTCATCTGCATCTCTTGATACATTTACTTGCTGCTTTTACTTCTTTGTCTGAGAAGTGTCTGTTCATTTCAGATGCCCATTTTTGAACTGGGTCTTTATATTTGGGGGGGGGATGATTGTTTTGAGTTCTTTATATATTCTAGATAATAGTCCTTTGCCTGAGGAGCAGCCGGTAAAAATTTTTTTCCCACATTGTAGGTGGCCTCTTATTTCTGTTGATGGTTTCTTTTTCAGTGCAGAAGCTTTTTAATATGATGAGATCCCAGTTGTTGATTCTTTCTGCTAGTTCCCGTGCTACTGAGGATTTGTTCATAAAGTCTTTTCCTATGCCAGTGTCTTCCAGAGTTCTGCCTAACTTATCTTCCAGCAAGTTTAGTGTTTCTGTTTTAATATTTAAATATTTATTCCACTAGGATTTTAGTTTAGTGTATGGTGAAAGATATGTGTCTAGTTTTAATCTTTGGCAGATTGAGATCCAGTTTTTGCAACACCACTTACTGAAGAGGCTATCTTTCCTCCACTGAGGATAGTTAGCTCCTTTGTCAAAGATGAAGTAGCTGAGTACATCGGGAGTTGTTTTTGTGTCTTCCAATCTGTTCACTGATCCTCAGGTCTGTTTCTTTGCCAGTACCATGCTGTTTTTATCACAGTGGCTTTGTAGTATAGTTTCAAATTGGGAATTGTTATACCCACTGCCATGCGTCTGTTGCCTAGGATGGATTTTGCTATTCTAGGTCTCTTTTGGTTCCAAATTAATTTTTGGATTATTTTTTCTAGTTCTGTGAAATATAGTGTTGGAATTTCAATTGGCATTGGAATTTCAATTGGCATTGCATTGAATCTGTATAGTAGTTTTGGTAGTATGGCCATTTTCACTACGTTGATTCTTCCTACCTAGAGGCAGGGGATATCTTTCCATTTTCTTATATCCTCTTCGATCTGTTTTTATCAGAGTGCTGTAGTTTTCAGTATAGAGGTCTTTTGCTTCTTTCACTAGATTGATACCTAGATACTTCATTTTTTTGGATGCTATTGTGAAAGGAATTGTTTCCCTAATTTCTCACTTGGTGAGTTTGTTATTTGTGTACAAGAAGGCTATTGATTTTTGGGTGTTGACTTTGTATCCAGCTACTCTGCTAAAAGTGTCAATTAAGTCTAGAAGTCTTTTGGTAGAGTTTTTTGGGTCTTCAATGTAGAGTATCATAACGTCAGCAAATAAAGACAGTTTGACATTTTCCTTTCCTATCTTTATTGCTTGAATTTCCTTTTCTTGTCTAATTGCTATGGCTAATGTTTCCAGAAGTATATCAAAGAGTAGTGGTGATAGTGGCATCCTTGTCTTGTTCCTGATTTTAGTGTGAAGGTTTTCAGTTTTTGGCCATTTAATATGATGTTGGCTGTTGGTTTTTCATAGATAGCCTTTATTAAGTTGAGATATAGACCATCTACTCCATTTTTTTTGCAGAGTTTTTATCATGAATGGTGTAGAATTTTGTCAAATGCTTTTTCTGCATCTATCGAGAGGATCATATAGTTTTTGTCCTTGACTCTGTTAATATAGTGTATTACATTTATTGACTAATGTATGTTGAACCATCCTTGAATCCCTGGAATAAATCTAACTTGGTCAGGATGTATGATCTTCTTGATGATCCTCCGTATTCTGTTGGCTAGTACCTTTTTTTTTTTTTTTTTTTGTACTGGGGATTGAACTCAGGTCCTTGTGCTTGCAAGGCAAGCCACCGAACTGCTGAGCTAAATCCCCGGCCCTGTTTGCTAGTATCTTATTAAGGATTTTTGCATCTATATTAATTAGGGATATTGGCCTATAGTTCTCTTATTTAGTTGGGTCTTTCTCTGCTTTGGGAATCAAAGTGATACTTGCTTCCAGTAATGAGTTTGGAAGTATTGCTTCCCTTTTCATTTCATTGAAAAGTCTGAGGAGTAATGGCAATAGTTCTTCTCTAAATGTCTTGTAAAATTCAGCAGTGAATCCATCAGGACCTGGGCTTTTCTTTGTTGGAAGATTTTTAATTACATTTTCACTTTCACTGATTGTAATTGAGGTATTTAAAATGTTTAATCTTCTTAATTCAACTTTGGTAATTCATAAGTATCTAGAAATCTGTCCGTTTCTTCTGTATTTTCAATTTTATTAGAGTACAAGTTCTCAGAGTATCGGGATAATCCTCTGGATTTCTGTTTGATCTGTTGTGACTTCACCTTTTTCATTCCTGATTTCATGGACCTGAGTCTTTTCTTTCTTTTTTTTTTGATAAGGTTAGCTAAGGTTTATCAATTTTATTTATTCTTTCAAAAGTCCAACTCTTTGATTCATTTATTTTTTCTATCGTTTCCTTAGTTTCCATTGCATTGACTTCCACTCTAATCTTTATAATTTCCTTTCTTGTATGAGCTTTGGGTTTTTATTGCTCTTGTTTTTCTAGGAGTCTAAGATTCGCCATTAGGTGGTTTATTTGAGCTTGCTCTGTTTTCCTACTATGGGCATTCAGTGCTGTGAATTTTCCATGTAGAACTGCTTTCATTGTGTCCCATAGATCCCTATATGTTGTATCAGCACTTTCATTTATTTGTAAGAACTGTCAAATTTCTTCTTTAATTTTCTTTGTGACCCATTGATTGTTCAGCAGAGTGTTGTTCAGTTTCTATGTGTTTGTGAAGTTCCTGTGGTTTCTTGTGCTAGTGATCTCCAGCTTGATTGCACTATGATTTGATAATATACAGGGAATAACTTCGATTGTTTTGCATTTATTCAAACCTGTTCTGTGAGCTAGTATGTGGTCTATCTTGGAGAATGACCCATGTGCAGCTGAAAAGAATGCATATTCTGATTTTGATGGGTGGAACACTCTATAGACATGTATTAAATCCATGTGTTCAAAAGCTTGGTTCAGTTCTAGTATTTTGTTGTAGACTTTTCTTAGATGATCTGTCTATTTGTGATAGTGGGTTATTTAGATCCCCCACTACAATTGTATAAGTGCTTATTTGGTTTTTCTTTTCTTTCTTTTTTTCAGCTTTAATTGAGTTTATTGGTACATTTTAGGGATAGAGTACAGTTACATTCATTGTTGGGATCTTGTACCTCTACATGACAAGTCTTCATTCTCATTTTTTCCCCTTACCCCTGCCCTCCCTTCACTCCCTCCTCTGCTCCCCATCTACAAACACTTTATTTCCATCTTTTCATTATCTCACATTTTTTTCTTTTCCCTTATTACCCTTCCCCTACCCATCCCACCTTCCCTACACCTTTAGCTC